GTTTATAGAAATAGTAAATAGTAAATAGTAAACAGAAAATAGTTGTTCCTTGGTTACCACAGTCTTTCAACATGAGCGACATGATTTATCGATCTTCGTGTACGTCTGCGTGTGTACACAAAGAGGTTGCTTTGTATGAAAATGATTTATGTGTGTATAATTTCAACATTCTTTCTTTCTCTTTTTTTTTAGGTGTTGATGTGTCTATGTGTGTATGTCTGTGTTTTTTTTTTAACATTCAGATTATGTTATTTTCCATATTCGTTTTTTTTTTCAAATTCGAATGTATATTGACATGCATAGGTGTGTTCTTCTTCTTCTTCAGATCCAGTGAGCAATGTTTGTGTGTGTGTGTGTGTGTGTGTGTGTGTGTGTGTGTGTGTGTGTGTGTGTGTGTGTGTGTGTGTGTGTGTGTGTGTGTGTGTGTGTGTGTGTGTGTGTGTGTGTGTGTGTGTGTGTGTGTGTGTGTGTGTGTGTGTGTGTGTGTGTGTGTGTGTGTGTGTGTGTGTGTGTGTGTATGTGTGTCGTGTGTGTGTGTGTGAGTGTGTGTGTGTGTGTATGTGTGTGAGCGTGCGTGTATGAGTGAGTGTGTGTGAGAGAGAGTATGAGTATGAGTGAGAGTATGAATGACAGTATGAGTGACTGTGAGTGTGAGCGTGCGTATATGAGTGAGTGAGCGTGAGTGAGTGTGCGTATGTGTATGTGCGTGTGCGGGCGAGCCGAGGTCACTCCGCGAGAGACTCCGCCGCCAGACTGGAGTGCGATTCCGCTCGCGTGAGTAAGTGCAGTTGCCATCGCTCGCGTCGGTGATTGAATTATATTGAAATGTGTCACTCTAGATTGTTTGATATTTTGACAGCTTTATCCGTCTATTGCACCAAAATAATGTAATGTCTGGTAATTCTCGAGAACAGTTTTATGAGATTTTGAAAATAAAAGATGGGACCTCCGTTTAAAAAATACAAATCAAACAATGTTAAAATAAATATACCAGTTTCACCATTTCCTCCTTCGTTCCTGAATAAATAATAAGAATAAATCAATAAATAAACAAACAGTTGAATATTCATATTTATCGTATCGATTTCAAAGATGAAAGACATCACAGGTCATACCAAGCCTTGACCCGTGCTAGAGGTCAAGGTCAACAGGTCATAAAAGGTTACAGGAATGCAAGGATGGCACAAAGGCCTTAGAGAAGATGTCAACAGAAGGCCCTTGGTGTGGTCACGTGACTTCCGTTCCTCCAGTGCCAAAAGGAGAGCCAAAGATCCCTCCAAACATGGCACTTCTACAGACACATTTATTTTCTTTGTCATTTGCCATACTCATATTAATGGGAAGGGATTCATGTCAAGGCTTTCCATTTAAGTACCGTGTGTTTTATGAAAGTATACTCATAAGTAAATAGTCTAAGTTTGTTTTGTATTTATATTTTTGTTTATGTTTATTTCTGCTTGCCATTTTGAGCATGTCTTTCTCAATCATTCAGAGACCCATGACATGTCAACCCAAGCCAAAAAGAAATGATTTCATCTCATTTTCGTTTTCGTGAATGCTATAAAAGGCTTAATGCTGCCCAATTGGCATAGATGACACAGCTGTTCCGGGCCAGCATGGGTGGATGAGGAGGGGGGGGGGGTTGGGTATACGTCCCCCTCCCCCTCCCATCGGCTTTAAACAACGGAAGGAATAAATGAATCGACGGAATTTTATTTTTTTCTCCTTTTGTTATTATTTTCAATATTCCTTATGTACATACATACAATAACTGCCAATATAAGTATTTTGGAACATATAAAGCAGTTATACAAAGAAGAATTATATATCAGCAATAATTCTCTCTCCATAGACAATTCTGTACAGTAACTTTACAAAGAACAAAACATCTTTTTTCGGATAAATCTTATAAACAAAGCAACAGGACGAAAAGCGCCCATCCTGGACTCAGGGGGGATCGCAAACACGCAGGCTTGCAACACAAACTCCTCATTCCATAAAAAAAGGAATCCTGCCTTTACAAAAATACATTTCTTTTTTGTGTGTGTGCGAGCCAGGGAGGCGGCAAGCGGCTTGGTAGGCCCCGAAGTTGTGTTGGTATATACATTAATATAAAATATATATACATATATATATACATATATATTAAATATCAATAGAAATTTGAAGAAAACAAATAATTATATAAGATTTGTGACGTTTCTTTTCCCCTTGTATTTCCTTTTTTTTATACAAATTTGCACTTTTTTTTCTTCCTTTTTTTTCCTTTTTTTATACAAGATTCCAAGCCGGCCAAGAGGACTTGCCGCAGCCCCGCGTTTACGACTGTGAACTACCTGACCAGGAGACGGCGCTGGGTTCCCCCTCCCCCCCTCCCCGTCCGCCCTAGAGTCCGTGGGGGGACGCCTAGAAATGGGGGACTTAGGGGGGGGGGAGAGTCTCTGCTTATACCTTACATAGACTCGACTGACTGACTCTTTGACTCACTCTCTCTCTCTCTCTTCCTCTCACTATAACAAATCGTATATCCAAACAATTTCTAAATATTTTCTCTCTTTGTCTCTTACAGTAATATATATAAAAAAGGGAGAGAGATAAGACACACAATCTATCAACAATGAGCATTCGCAACCGACCTCAGATTAACAATCAATACGTTCGTTATCCACAAGAAAGAGGGGGGGAAGAAAGGAAAGAGAGAGAAAAAAATTAATAATCGTTTGTTTGGCCGAAAATGCGTCCATCTGCACCTCACGGGCCTCCTCTTGTTTTCCTTTCTTTCTTGTTTTCATTTTCGTTTCAATTCGCGTGTTTTTTTTTTGTGGGAAGGAAAAAATATGCGGTTCAACACAAATCAAACTTCACACTTTTTTCTCTCGACTTGACCAACAATCACAAGTTTGATTCATCTCCTCGAGCGTGTCTGCCTTCTCCTCTCCGATTCGAAACAGACAGACATGTACACCTGCAGAGCGTGTGCGTGAGGGCGAGAGAATGGGAATGTGGGCGTATGAGTGAGCGAGTGAGAGCGAGTGACAGTGAGATTGTGAGAGAGTGACTGGGTGTGTGAGTATGAGTGAGTGTGTCCGTGAGGGTGTCTGTGTCTTTGCGTCTGTGTGTCCGTGTGGGGGCGTCTGCTAGCGCGGCTTTGTCCGTCTGTTCATCCGAGCACAAATCTTTCCTTGGCGCACGTGAGGGGCGTGTCCCGTGGAAGCCAGTCTGAGGTCAGCACAAGATCGTCCAGCCCGCGGTCACTGAGGGCGCGAGCACGACCTGGTCCTCGGGTCGGAATGCCTTGGAGGTTGTCCTTCCGCCCTCGGGTAGGGCTGGCGCGCGCGGCCCTCCATGCGGGCGGCGAGAGAGTGGAGGGAGGGGAGGGGGGGAGGGCGGGGTTGCAGTGTCCTTGCGCCCCTGGTCTGTCTGGGAGGGAAGGTCGCGGGCCCACTTTTCGCCAGCAATAACATTCGCGCAACAACATTAATTGATCGACTAGAAGGTACTGGGTGACCCGTCCCAGTCATGTCCTGCTTGCCCGCCTTGTATCTGCGGGCGGGTGGGATTAGGGGGAGGGGCTGGGCGGCTGAGGGTGGGCGGCGGGCGGGCGGGGCCAACACCAACGATACGAGCAGCACAGCATCGCAGCATCGCAGCACGGCGGCTGCGGCGCGAGGGTGCTGGCGGCGCCTCCGTCGCGAGGGCGGCGGCCGACGGCGCTGCCACCGCGCGCATCTCGCCTCACCGTCGTACAAGGCTGAATAATAAATTAATGACGATGTAAGAGAGGTGTCGGCGTGATGCGCCGCCCACCGTCTCAACCGCCCCTGACTGGTGGGCGCGGCGTTGATCCCTGAATGTGCCCGGGGCCATGCGCTGGTGCGGGCGGCGTGGGCGGCGTGGGCGTGACTAGGAGGAGGCTCCGCGCCCACGCTCCGCCACCAGCGCCCCGAGGCCGCTCAGCTTCCGGCGGGCGGCGCGGGCCGGGCGGCCACCCTGGCCGGGGATTAAAGCTTGAGAGGGTGGCCGAGGCCTTCCTCCGTGGGTGTGGGTGGCCCGGGCCGCCCGCCGGGGGAGGGCGGCCCGCTGCGCGACGCCCTTCAGGCGCAGTCGTGCAGCGGCCGCTTCTCCGGGGGCGGCGGCGGGTGGTGGCGCGCGCCCACGCCCTGGGGGCAGCGGCACCCGTGGCTCGTGCACCGCTGGTACGTGCTCTCCAGCAGGCGCCGCGCCGCCGTCAGGGGCCAGTAGCAGAGCAGGCACGGCAGAGGTACGGAGGCGAGGGCCAGGCACGCCCAGCCCCGCAGCGCATGCGGGCCGCCGCACGAGCACGGGTGGTCCGCGGCCGAGTCGAAGTCGGCGTCGCCGTCCTTGCTGCAGTGGTACAGCACGCCCTTGACGCAGCACAGGCACGACGCGTAGTCGACCACGGCTGCGGGCGAGCACAGGCACTTGTTGCGGCAGAGCCAGGCCGCAGGCGGCGGCCGCGGCTTGGTGCACGCCTCGCACCGGCAGCGGCCGCACCACGAGCAGATGATGGACTCGCCGTCGATGTCGTCGCGGCCGCCCTTCGTGAACGTGAGGGCGGCGGGCTGCTTCCTGATGACGGGCGCGCGGCTGCCCTGCGGCCCGAGGGTCACGCCCGCGGTGCTGCCCTCGAGGCTGCCGCCCTTCACTGTCGTCCCGACGCTCAAGCTTGTCTGGGCGGCCGTAAGCTTGGCCGCGGCGGCCGGCCTCTTGCCGCTGCTGCGGGCGGGCGCGCCGTGGACCAGCGGCAGGTCCGTGGAGTGGGGGGCGCGACCCCCCGCCGGCGAAGGATGCTGGCCGGGCCGCGAGCGGGGCGCCACGCGGTGCTTGAAGGGCGTGTCCACGTAGAGGTTGGTGGTGCGCTGGTGGTCCGGGCGGGGCACGGAGAGCGTGATGGGGCTGCCCTGGGGGGAGGTGGTGGTGCCGGCCCCCCGCACAGCCCCCCCGCCGCCCCCGCTTGGCTGCGGCCATCGTGAGACATCACCGAGCGCGCGCGCCGGACATCATCTCAGCCGCCGCTCCACAGCACTCTGGAACACGAGAACACGGCGTTAGCACGGCGCTTGGCACGAGGGAACTTAACACTAGGATGCATGCACGGGGCGGGAACTCGCCCGACTCTAAACACATGTGGAGAACAAGGGCGAGGGCTGTCCGCCTTCGCCTGCCCGACCGGAAGCCCGATCTGCCTACCTCTTACACACAGGACTCCACCAGGAGCAGCCGCCCGACGCGCCGCAGCCACGACAACAGGCCTTCCATCACCAAGACCCCCCCCCCCCCCCCCCCCCCCCGCCACCTTCTCCCCAAGACAGCGGCAATTATCCTCCAATGGCCGGCTTCCGCTGAGCAAGTTACCGCCTCCCGCCTTAACCAGTGGTCGCGGCGGGGCACTGCTGCACTGTGCCTGGTAACCCTACCACGAGGTACCTGGTAACAATGCTACTCTTTTAGTGGTAGCCATATTCCACGTGTGGCACTGCGAAAATGCTGGTATGAGCCTCGTGTCACTCTGGCACTCTCTCTATTTACCCTTTTCTATTACTTTTCTCCAACTGGCACTGTTAAGCTGTGATTTGTTTAAACAGTAGGGAGTCTGGTAACACTGTTGCACTGTACCTGGCCCTGATATGCGTTTGTGAGTAAAATTATAACCTGGTAGCCCCGGAATAAGCATAATGATAACATGCTAGCCCGGGAGCGAGCATAACAATCATCATCGTAGCCCGGTAGTAAGCATAATGACAGTCAGGCAGACCGTAGAGTGACACAATGGCAATCCGACAGTCACAAAAGACATCCTAAAGTGCACACAACAAAGCCTAAAAACAAACCACCGAAAAAGGATTACGAAAAAGCCCGGGAAAAAAGCAAGAGGCTTGATACACCCAAACCAGACGCGACAACGCACGTGCTCCAACAAGGGGACAGATTTGAGCGCGGCCGTCGGGGCTGCTCAATGCTAGTAATCTATCCACAGACTGACAGACGAATTATTACTAGCTTTTGTACTTGCTACCAACTAGCCAAGACAGCGAAGTCGCCGCGTGGGATTCTGGATGTTTTGGGGCCAAGAAGATAAAATGGTAGTTATCAATGGCTGCGATAAACAGAAAATACTATGTACTAATAACTAGAGCAGAGACGATAGAGTTAAGGGGTGGAGGTGGGAGGAGGAGGGGGGGGGAACAGGATGAAACAGGGCAAAGGGGGGGAGGGGGTAAATGGTCAATGCAGGGCGGGGGGAGGGGGTTAGAGGTAGAGGGAGAGAGAGAGCAGAGTGTATAGGTGCAGATAGAGATACAGAGAGACAGATAGATAGAGGTGGGTGAAGAGGAGAGGGGGGGAGAGGGAGAGGCAATGGGTGAATTTGGGGAGGGTGGAGAGGGGGGGGAGGGGAGAGGAGGCAGGGGGTAGGGGGGTAGGGGCGGGGAGGATGGTAGGAACGGATGCCGCCCACTCGTGTAGAACTCCAACTTCCTTTCTCACACTCCACTCGGGGAAAGAACGGCACAAGTGGCCCGTTTTTCGAGACACAAGGCCCACGAGCCCACGCCGCAAACGGGGCAAAATGACCCTAATTGCAGGATTCTTTCTTCTTCTTTCTTTCTTGTTTTTTTTTTTTTCTTTTACACCGATGTCTGGCTCTAGAAGGGCACAAGCCGGCGCACAGGAAGGGGCAGGAAACTCGGCAAAATCCGAGGAAATCATTGTAGCCCTTCGCGAACCAGTCCCTCCCTCCTCCCCTCCCTCCTCCCTTCCCTTTCTCTACCGCATACCCCCCCCCCTCCCTCCCCCTTCCCCTTCCCTTCCGTGTCCTCTCCTCCTCTTCCCTCCCTTTCCCTCCTCGCATTCCCTTTCTCTCCCCCCCCCCCACCCCCATCCCCCACGAATCCCTTCTCCTCCGCCCCTTCTTTCCCCATCCCCCCTACTTACCCCCCCACCCTTACCGAGAACACAACCCCCCTCCCCCAACCCCCTCTTACAGACCACCTTCCCTGTGTCTCGATCACAAATATGCAAATCACTGCTACAAGATCTTGTAATATTACTGGTCCAGCAGTTATTTCCTAAACTATAATATTATTCAAGGTGCCAATGATACGAATAACTATAACGATAGTAGTGAATGCTAATGAGCAATTATAAGTGACATTAATAAGCAATCATAACGATATAAACGAGTTATATAATAATAATAAACATAAAAAAGTGGCGATGGAGTTAAAATAACGAAGGTGAATAACAAGAGACAAATCCTGATAAACGACAGCAGCAGTCAACACAAATAAAGAACAATGAACACAAAAGAACCAATAAGAACAATAACAATTACTAGCACCGTCAACTAGCAGATCGAAATGCCACCAGGGAGCTGCAGTCGAGGTACTAGTGGTAAGAGTAATAGTAATTTTAATAGTAACACTCGCAGAAGTAGTAGTAGTAGTAGTAGTATGATTAGTGGTAGGCCTAGCGGTAACG